TGCAGCAATGCAAGCTCAGCACAGCCAAAAATAAATAAGCTAATTAATTGACAAAAGATTAGATGAATCTATAAAACAAACAAGCAAAAAAACCTCATCAGCATCTTCAGCTCCCTTTTTCTTCACATCCAGGCACCAAGTCTTGCCAGTTCTTTCTCTGATGTATTTTTCAGTCTTACCAGCATCCCACATTCAGGAATTTATTGTTTCAAACCTGCATCATTGAAATTACCTCCAAATAGTTCATATCTGCTTTCATTAATAGTGGTCCCCATGAATGAAAACCATAGGTCTAGTTTTCAGCCTGTTATTATGATGATTCCATATATGATCTCTAGCATTAATGTATGGACCCATTAGTGTGTGACTCCTCTGCTTTGGTTAAAATGGTCTAATTAGTATTTCCAGAAGGATCTGCTATCTCAAATTTATATGTTTCTTATGTGTGAAATTTGCTCAACCGTGTCCAACTCTTTATGACCCCATGGATCCTCTATCTATGGAATTCTCCAGGTAAAAACACTAGAGTGGGTCGCCATCCCCTTCTCCAGGGGATCTTCCCGGCGAGGGATCAAACCTGGGTCTCCTACACTGCAGCAGACTTTTTACCATCCGAACCACCATGGCTACCCACTGTAAAATTCGAGGGGCTTCCCTTGTGCAGTAAAGACAGTAAAGAATCTGCCTGCTATCAGGAGACCCGGGTTTGATCCCTGGGTCGGGAATACCGCTGGAGAAGGGAATAACTACCCACTGAAGTATTATTGCCTGAAGAATTCCATGCACAGAGGAACCTGGTGGGCTATCGTCCATAGGGCTGCAAAGAGTTGGACATGACTAAGTGGCCAACACTTCCACCTTATATATGAAAACCACTGAGCAAAATCACAAACATTACATAAATATGAGTCATTATCTTGTACCTACCCCTGGTTACCCTGTTGTCACTCTTTAATGGTTTGATGAGTTTCTTCTTATTCATGGGCTCTGCCTCTTACTCTGCTCAGAACGTTCTTCCTCTTATCTAGCTACCCTAATCCCCATTCCTTTGGTTTTAGATTCATCTTCTCTCTCTTCCCAGACTCTTCATGTTGTTAAAATGCATGGGAAGTTTTGAGTCTGCATCTTTCTTTAGAATCGCTATCTTCATAATCAATCCAGACTGATGCATGTAAGGAATCCAGATAAAAATTTCATTCCAGGCCCCCACTTGATAGAGGGAATTGGGCTATCTTTGTCACCTCATGAAGAACATCTGCCTTTTTCTATAACTCCTCATGTGCTCAGAGCTCAATCCTGGATGTCCTACACAGTTTTCTTTACCCAATCTTCCCTACCATCCCCCAGCCCACAACGATCATTGTCCTCCAAATTCTTATAACCACTCCTGTATTTAGATGATACCTATATTCTGCTGAGTGTTTACTGATTAGCCCTAGTAGTATATTCTTGAATACCCAAGTAGGTTGGAAATGCCTTCAGGGTGTCTATAGCAGTTTATATTATAATCCCATATTTCAACATTATCCAAAAGAGCCTGACATGTGACAGCTGCTAATTGTTTATCGGGGCTTGTTAGTCGCACTGAAAGTGACTGATAACAACACTCTTTCTTAATTGGAGTGTTGATACAGGTTCAGGAAGCCCTGTAGAAAACAGAAAGCCACTGTCTCCTTGGAGGAAAAGATGCCAGAGCATAAAGCAAAGGCCAAGAAGGGCGATATCCACAATCTAGAAGACAAATGTACCAAATGCATCATTATACTCAAGGTCAGGGATGTATTTATGTAATACTTTTCAAATGAAAAACTCCATACAGTTCTTGTTATCTCGATTCCTATCTTGACTTTTCATTATCAGGAGAATATGTATGTATGTACATTGCCTAAATTAGGCTTCACAGTGTCCTCTTCTGTGGCCATAATAGCTCTGACTTTGTTTTCCCCTTGAGGCTTACTTGGGTTTAACTTTACCCTACAACCATCATTCTGACACCAGAAAACAGTGAAATTAACAAATATAACATGGGAAACAAGAGGCCTCACTGATGATTCCACAGGGAAAAGAGAGCATTTGAATCAATCTTAATGTAGTAATAGATCTTCCATAAAAAACCCCACTATCAAGTGAGACCCAGCCAGAAAGGAAAATGCCTCTTCACTTTCAATTAAGTGACGAACCTCGAAACAATGTGCTGCTTCATTTGAAACCAGGGAGGATATTTTCTTCCAGCTGGACATTGTGGGGAAGACAGGGAAGGGGGCTCATCACCGTCAACTGCGCTAAAAAGGCAACACAGGCCCCTGGCGCTTTTTTAGAATCTGCATTTCTCTTCTGCAAGTCCCCCACCCTGTCCATATTAATTAGACAGACGTCTAAATCTTCACTGTAGATGTCAGTCAGGGAAAATGCATGGTTTCAAGGTTAAAAGATGAAATGTCACCTTCTCTTTCCAGAGACAGGAATTTTTAAAAAAGAAATCACTCATCTAGCATGAGTTTCTGTGCTAAAATGAAATTTATTTCTCTAGGTGTCAGATCCCTGATGTGTATAGCAGGATCTTCTCCTGATAATATTTTTTTTTAACTTCAACTTTAAAATTATACAAATAAATACAAGCAGACAGTGATTATGATTAAAATAAAGATGTATATGTTACTGATATCAGTTTATTGTAGCATTACCATTATTAAAGTCCTTTATTGTCACAGGGAAGAGAGAAGGCCAATTTTGATGCATATATACTTTACCTTAATACAATAATTTAAGAGAAAAAAAAAGCATCAAGGGCTCTTAAGTGCTATGCAGCTCTTTTGCACTTATTCCTCAAATCTCTCTATTGTTTTGGCAATTACACTCTAATTAGATGCTTCTTCCCCAATTGTGTGTAAATCCTTCAAGGCAGGAAGAGCAAAGGTCTCAAAGCCATTGACATAGTTCTGCAAAAGACACAAATAAACAGAACTCTCAAGACTTCAAATGCTGATCAAGGTAAAATTTAGATGAGCAATATAGGACTTGAATTATTTTATCTAGAGAATTTGTCCTTAAAATATAGGAAGACATACAGAAAAGTTTGATTTTTCATATAGCTCTACTTAAACTATTGTGAGGTAAAAAAAAAAACTTCAATTTTCAAATAAATAAGTGATGGACTGGAGAAATCTCTCTCATTTTATCCGCCATAGCCCCTTTCAAGCATTATTTATGCCAAGCTTGCCTGGCAGGTTTAGTGGTTAGGACTTCCCCTTCCAATGCTGGGGGTGTGTGTTTGATCTCTGGTGGTAAAGCTAAGAATCCCACATGCCTCTAGCCCCCCAAAAACAAAACATAAAACAGAAGCAATACTGTAACAAAGTCAATAAAGACAAAAAATGGGCCACATAAAAAAAAAAAAAAAACACCTTAAAAAAAGAAAAACATTACTTATGCATAGAAAAATCATCCACTGAGTTCCCAGAGCGCGGATAGGTTTTTAAGGGGATGTGATGCTTACTCTTGGTTTCGGTCTGAGAAAAAGTTACCAAAGGGAGGTTTTGTTCAGTTTGACGAACAATAAATGAGCTACAAGTGATAGAGCTGTCTTTTCACTTTCTTCATTTTAACACAAGTGAACTTTTTTCATTTGCAACTTTTTTTACAATTCTCAAAACAGCCCAAGGAATCATTCCAAAGGTAAGCATGAAGGGAGAAGGGAGTAAGAATCATTAACTTTGTGCACTTAATGGAAAAGAAACCTGTCATTCATCAGAAAATTAGAGGCTAACTCTAATTATAACAAACTTCTTGATCCTGGTCACAAGGATGGAAACTTACATTCAAATGGAGCTGAAAAACTTCCCTTTTGGGGGCAGTAAAGATAACCGGTTTTTCAGCAGGAGTGGCAAGGCTGAAAAAAGGACTTTTTAAGAAGAAAGCTTGGAGTGCTCCATACATTAAAATGACGAGGCTGGTTTCTGGGCAAACCTGTGTCACAGGACAGTCAGGGCAAGGAGCTGTGTACAGGAGTCCCCTGGACTCCACAGAGAAAGCACCCCTAGTGAGTCCTTTATTGTTGTTCAGTCGCCAAGTCGTGTCCTACTCTTTGCGACCCCATGCACTGCAGCAGGCCAGGCTTCCCTGTCCTTCACCATCTCCCAGAGTTTTCTCAGACTTCTGCCCATTGAGTCAGGGATGCTATCTAACCAACTCACCCTCTGCGGCCCTAGGGCCTCTATTTAACATAAGCACTTCTGAGGTCACAGATAGTGCTTAATCTGTGGGGGCCCATTCTACTGAAAGCCCTGATTTCCCTTTTGGAAACAATCTTGGTAACCAAGTGTCCTGGACATTCTGCAGAACAAATCTTGTTCAGTGTCAGGGTGCGAAATAGATCTATTTTCCATTTGGAAAAGGAGGAGGGAGTGAATTGGGAGGAAAAAAATCTGCTTCCGTTGGATAAACTTCTCCTTTGAGGTTCCAAGGGGAGGGGCCAGCCAGAGCTCGGGCCCACCCGGACAATGGCACCCTTGGGCTTGCTACTTTTTCTAGTCCCTAGAGCTGCTCTGGAAGCTGTGGCTTCCATTAACTTCAACTGTTGAGCATCCCCGGGGACTCAGACGTTTAAGAATCCGCCTCCAGTGTAGGAGACCTGGGTTTGATCCCTGCGTCGGGAAGATGCCCTGGAGAAGGGAATGGCAACCCACTCCAGTATTCTTGCCCGGAAAATCCCACGGATAGAGGAGCCTGGCGGGCTACAGTCCATGAGGTCCGAAAAACCGGACTGAGCGACCAAGCCCACACACCCTCGCTTAGTAAGTCCTGGGGCGTAGGCGGGATGGCTCCAGTTGGGGTTAGTTTTCAGTGCCCCCGCCCAGCACAAACCAGACCTCAGACAGCCGCGAAGGCGCGCTGATCCTCCGCACTCGGCGTCCCCGCTGGGCGCACGCAACGTGGCCGGCGGGCGCCACCCACAGTAGGTAAGCAGCGATACCAGCTCGTACAGACTCGGGGCGACCTGCACGAACTAGTGCGCTCCCCCCTCCCAGTGAATGGCAGTTTCTTTGGTGAGTGCTGACACCAAGGCAGGCAAGGATAAATTCGTTCCGCTCTCCCTCTGGCCCAGCCTTGTACTTACTGGTCCACTCAGACAACCTCTAGCCACTTGTTTTGAATCCAAGAAAACAACGCATGGGGCTGTTTTCGGGAGAGTTACTCTGGGAGCGCACGCCAGAAGACCCAGACTCCCCGGGACACCTTAGGTATCGGGAAAAGCAGACCCTTCCAGCTTTTCCAACTAACAAATCAGTGCATTAGGACTGGCGAGGGCAGAAAGGGAAGATGGGAAAGGAAGGATGAGAAGACAGCGGGACGGGGCCTGGGTGGGTTTACTGGGAAATGAAGCAAAGTCCTGAACCTTAAGTTCAAGTTGTAGCAGTGAGGCGATCGCTTGGGAGCCTTTTATGGGCGCAGCGGCTGGGTGTACAGGTTCTTTTTCGTGTGGATTTTTCTTTTGCCTTTAACGACTGAAGCTTAAAGTTCCGCCGCGAAGATTTGGAGGCAGAGGAAGCAGGAGGCAATTGCTGGAATCAAACTGATTCTGAAGCCAGTTTGAGCCAAGGTCGCCTCTCACAGAGCGGAGGAGTTTCTCTCTTGCCCGGAGGCTAGAGCCTCTTTACGCAGAGCACCCTCCTTCCCCGCTGGGGATTGAGGCTTGGGAGAGGCTTGGGATGATGAGGTCTGGAAGCAGCGCGCCGAGCAGCTGTGAATGTCAGAGGGAAAGTAGCAAAGGTTTTGATTCCAGAGGACTAGGGGAGGCAGAATGAATGGGGTGGGCCTACTCGCCGCTACTCCATCATCATCGGCGGCAGAACTTGCACTTGATGATCTTCTTAAACGCGTTTTGGAAGTCCTTGTTGAAGTAGGCGTAAATGACAGGATTAAGCAGAGAGTTGGAATAGCCCAGCCAGTTGATTATGGCCCCCAACAGGGTAGGCATGTGGCAGCTGCTTTCGCAGAAGGGCAGGACTAGGGCCACGATGAAGAAGGGCAACCAGCAGAGGATGAAGGTGCCCATGATGATGCCCAGAGTCTTCACCGTCTTCCTCTCGCGGGCCAGGGCCATCTTGCGCTTGGCCTCGGCGTTGCGCTCATTTTTCTTCTCGAAGGAGGCGGGAACGTAGGGGACAGCACCGGCTTCGCTGGGCAGCGGAAGGTGCTCTTTGGAGTTGCCCACCCAGTGCACTTCGATCACCTCCAGGGCGGCGCCTTCTTCGCCCTGCCTCACGGCTCCATTGGCGCACGGAGCCCCTGTTACCTTGTTCTCCGTGCCCTGCCTCCAGTCTCTGCTATCCGACTCACCACTCACGCTCTTTCTGGGCTGCGGGGCAGGCGACGCCGCAAGGCGGTGGTTGGCTGCCTTCTTGTCCACCTTCTTGACTGTCTTGCGGATGCGGAATCGCGCGGCTCGAAAGATGCGCCCGTAGAGAACCAGCATGAGCAGCAGAGGGATGTAGAACGCGCCGAAGGTGGAGTAAATAGTGTAGCCGTGGTCCTTGCTGATGGTGCACGCGTCCGGGTCCGAGCGGTCTTCCGGGGTGCGCCAGCCCAGCATGGGCGGGATGGAGATGAGGAAGCCAATGAGCCAGGTGAGCGAGATGAGCGCGGCTGCGCGCCGGGGCGTCCTCTTGTTCACGTAGTCGATGGGGTCGGTGATGGCCCAGTATCTGTCCAGCGCGATAGCGCACAGGTGCAGGATGGACGAGGTGCAGCACAGCACGTCGAGGGCGATGAACAGGTCACAGGTGACCTGGCCCAGAGTCCACTTGTTGAGCACCTGGTACAGCGCGGCCATGGGCAGCACCAGCACCGACACCATGAGGTCGGTGATGGCCAGCGAGCCTATGAGATAGTTCGCCACGTTCTGCAGGGAGCGCTCCAGGGCGATGGCCGCCACTACGCACGCATTGCCCAGCACCGCGCAGAAGATGAGCGTGCCCAGCACTAGAGAGGTGATTACTTGATAGCTGAAGGTCACGTCGGAGATGCCAGTAGCGTTGCCGCGTGTCCCGAAGGGACCCTGGGACGACGTGGTGTTATTGCCCTGTCCGGGGCTGAGCACATCCATGCTGGCGCGCCGGGCAGGGGAGGGGGAGGGGAGAAAGAGCGGCTCCAGGTTCCCCCTCGCCCCTCCCCCTGGGGTCTCCCGCCCCGGTTTCCTGGGGAGTTTCAGCTGGGAGAGGACGCGGGGACTCAGGCAGGAACTTCTTACTGCTCGGGCGAAAGCATCTCGCAGAAGCAGCTAGCTTCCAGGCGCTCCCTGGGCTCTCGTAGTGCAGCGCGCTCAGAGACTCCAGCTGGGAAATAAATTGGCTGGAGAAACAGCTCCGGGATCTCCGGGAGGCGGAAAGGTGGCTGGAACGTCTGTCTCTTGCTGTCCATTATACTTTGCCGCTGTCTAACTGGCTGCCATACCACTCGGAGTCTTCCCACCAGCAAAGAGTCTCCAGTCTTAGAAGTATCTGGAATAGAGAAACGCCGGCTTCCACAGTCACTCTGCAACCCTCGTCTTCCTTGCCTCTCCCCTCCTCTCCTACTCTTCCCTCTACTCCCTGCTCTTCTCTTAACCCTCCTCCGTCTCCCTCTTTCTCCCACTAGTCATCCCCTCCGTCCCCTTTCCTCACTCTCCTTTATCTCTCCGGTTTGCTCCGACAGCCAGGCTCCCTCCCTCCTGCGCTAACCCTCCCCTCCTAACACTTCCCCAACCCTGAGTGCCTCTTTCCCCCGGCTCCCCGCCCTGCTCTCCCTCTAGCTCTGCCTCTTTGCCTTCAAGTCCCTTTTTGTCGATCGAGACTCAGAACTCACTTCCACACACCCGATCTGCCGATCAGACCAACATTACAAAAAATAACTCCGCCTCCTACCCAGCCAAACTCGAGAGAGAGCGAGAAAAAAATCTAACCACATACATTGCTTCGTATTTGTCAAATTCTTTAGTAGACTCAGCATCACTGAGTGGCAATAGGACAAGAGAAGAGGAGGCATAAGGAGCCTGAGTGGGGACGTGGACAGTCCTGGGTCAGTCTGTAAATTATTACTAATAGATGGAAAGAAGATGGAGTGTGTCTTCGCTTTTTAAAATCACCCCCCGTTTGTCATCTCACGGTCCAGCTCGACTCCTTTGCCTCTGACTCTTTTTTCTAACCTCGAGGAATTGGGTGAGAAAGCAATTAAAAAGGACACGTCAAAGGAGAGGTGAAAAACTGCATTTCAAAGTGAAGAAAAACCAATTCGAGATGTATTCTACACACAGACACACACACACACACTTGCTTTTCCATTCAGTTCAGTTCAGTCGCTCAGTCGTATCTGACTCTGCGACCCGGTGGACTGCGGCACGCCAAGCTTCCCTGTCCATTACCAAATTCCAGAGCTTGCCTTTCCATTACCATTGCCTTTTTAATTTCAATGAATATTGTCATCTTCCACAGCTTTGTGCCGAGTAAATTTAGGGGAGAGAATTTTTTTGATTTTGTGTTATAAATGAGGTTGGGCATTTTTTTTTTTAATGGCCTTTTGCTTTTCCTACCGGTTTTCGGGCCTTTATGGAGAACTTGGTGGAATTCCTGGTCGCTGGTTGCAGAGTTCTTTTGGACTCAGAAACTTGGTTCAGCACCTGGAACAGCTCTAGGCAATAAGGACTTATGTCGCCACCTACCGGCAAATGCTTTAGAGCGCCATTTAGAAACCCTTGTCTTGCAGAAAAAAGCGTGTATTGAGGAAATCCCACTTCAATAAAGAAAGACGGTTATTAAAAGTAACTTTGAGTTTTCTATTTTATTCAGATATTTCTTCTAGTATCGTCTTTTGCTTTTAATCGTCTATATCAAGTCCATTATGTTTTCTGGCTTTTTTGGAAAGCCTGCAATATCATTCATCTGCAATTTTAATAGACCTAGGCAAACGCCTTCACTTGTGTTGATTTTGTGCTAACATATGCTGAACTTTGGAACTCATACATTTGCACACATTCATCAATGGGGAAAAGCATTATTGGATTCTCCAAATGGGGATGACTTAACATAGAAGATAAAAAGACTGCTATGTGTTGGTTATCTAAGCTGTTTCCTTTACCAAGGAAACCAAATTTAATTCCATTTGCACCTAGATAAAGAATGGGATTTCTACTGCACTAGAATAACATATAACAAAATTGACTTATACGTTCTGATTACAGGACTGATGTAAAGTACAGAATGCAATCCCCAAAGTAGATGAATCTAGATAACATGCACAGATTCACTACAGAATAGCAATAGTCTTAATATTGTGTTCAAATTTGAGGTCTAAATGCTCCAAGACCAAACAAAAGAGCAATCATAAAAGTGTCAGAGAAAATCTTGTTGTACAGGTCGATGTGTTTGGAGATGGATTGTTTTACAATGCTGTGCTAGGCACAGTTCCCACTCAATCATTTCAGCATGCCACAACAATGATTCAAGGCATTGAAAAGAAAAAGATAAGTACATATGGTGATACTGGCTACAGACTCTGAAGATGTCTTTTTAAAATTTGTGTGGGTACTCATTCTCCCTTTAAAATCTCCTCACAGATACAAAGCTAAGTAACTTTATTAAAATACAGTTGCAGTTCCAGCAAAATTTGATAGAAAAATAATTATAATCTAGATTCTCCAAAGATAAAACTTGGGAAATATAGCTGATAACATAAACAAAGAGTAAAATAAAAGAAATCTGAATTAGAAAATATTAACATGTCAAGTACAAACTTGAATAAGGATTTTGTCAAACTTAGTACATGTCAACATAGGGCAAGTCAGTAAATGTGTCAGTCAGCAACTGTGCATTCATTATTACTAAACACAAGTTGTTTAATAACTGGCAAATTAATTTTTCTGAAAGCTGAAATGCTGTTAATCTAGTGTTAATATTTCTGAGATCTGGCACTTGCTATTCTGCTTTAATATTTTACAGCACAGCTTTTTCTTTATTCAGGTTGAAAAATCTCTCAAGTAGCTCATGTTTTTCTTAGAAATAGTGTATATAATATCTCAAACATCTCATTTCAATGAGAATATATAGACAGTTTATAAATACTGGAAGAAAATAGAAGTATAAAGGATATGCAGCACTGACTATGGTCCTACAACCTTCATATGACTAATAGATAATTAGGTAAAATCTTTATTAAGCTAAAAATATTGTGATATATATTAAAAGCACAGTGATGTTGCATTTCCTTACGTTCACACTTTACCAGTTCTTCTACATTTAACTCTTAATGATACAGAATCCCAGATATGCCAGAAGAGATGGTACAAACAGAAGATCCTAGATAAAGAGTTAGGCTGTATTCTTTGAGGACTCTGAAATTGGGCTAAAGAAACACTAGCCTAAGAGCAAATATTATTGATGACATCATTTGAAAACAAAACTTCTAGTCATTCTGCTTTTATGCATCTAGGGTTTGATGCATCATCTATCATGTAATATTTCCCTAAAATAGGTTATGGGAGATAAAGATTTTTAACATCTTCACAGGAAATTTGATACACGCCAAGCATTTCAATGTAGTTCTTTACCCAGGGACATAAGATTAGAAAGATGTTAGGCTGGAGTTATTCTGTAAACCTGACTGCCTCATCATTACCAAAAGTTCAGTAATGGTTGGATCTCCTCAATAATTGGTATATTTATCCATAATCCCCAAATTGTGGCTGATTTTTCTATAAGTGAGGGAACAACCTATAGAAGAAATCGTTGAAAATTGGCTTAAATTACAAAAATAAATTTTTGAACTATTTTAAAGTGTTTTTAGATTTTAAAATAATTACATAATAAAACTAAGATAGTTTATTTTTTGTTTTTTAATTTTCACAATGCTGTGTTGGTTTCTGCCATACACAACTGGGATCAGCCGTAATTATACATATATCTCCTCCCTCTGGAGCCTCCCTCCCTTCCCCCCACCCTACCTCTCTAGGTCATCACAGAGCACCAGGATAGATTATTTTTTAATTAAAAATATCATTCTGAATTTAATTCACCCCAATCTTCAAATACTAAAGCAACAAGGCAATTGTAGTTTTTCCAGAACTGTGAATTTTTTTTTTAACTGGAATTTTTTAGGGATTAAAAAAAAAAAAGAAAAAAACTTCAAGGAGAAATTGTGTTTAGATAATTTAGAAAGTGTGGTCTTCTGATTATCAGCAAAAATTAACTGTTCTTTATAAGAAATGCAACCAAAATGCAAGAGAAAAAAATTCTTTAAAACTGAGCCCAATTTTTTGTGTGTGTATATAATTCTCACCATTCACCCTCCTCAGATGGTAGCATTCCTTAGCTGCTATTTCTATATGCCAGACACTTGTGCAATACCCAGAACCACACTAGGTCTTTAGTGGGAGAACACAAATGATGGAAGCCTCGGTCTCTGCTTCAGTAACTGTAAGATTGATTTGGTTCATTTAACACAATGTTGAAAGCATAGCATGTAGAGAAAGAAAAAAAAAAGTAATGCCTATTCATTTAGTGTGTGACTTTGGGCAAGTTAATTAACTTGTTTTCTCAGTAGTAAAATGAGTGCAAAATAGATTTGTGAAAAAGTGATTTTGCTGGCCCATAAAAAACACCCAGTAAAGGTCAAGCAATAATAGTAGTAATAGTGTTGCAAAGTAATAATATTAATTGTCTCTCTCTACTGATAATTGCTGAGAAGTGTAGAGAATTAGGTAGAACTAGGTAGGTTTAGTGAAAGAGCAAGTGCTTGAAAAAAAAAACAATTAAGGCCCTTTCAGGTGAGGATTTATTTTGAAAACAATTTTCATGTGGATGAGTTACCCAACCAAACTTGGGTCTGCTAGCCCACTATGTGCAGCAAAGCCAATCTACTTACACCAAGTTGTGGCAAAAGAAAGTAGAGCCCCTTATTTCGAGCTGCCCAATGTGAGGCTGAGCAAGGAGACTCAGCAGCTCGTGCTGAAAGCACCTGAACTCTTTGATGGCTCTCAGGGAAGAATTTTTAAAGACAATGTGAGGGAGAGGGTTGCAGGGTGACTGATTAGTTGGAAATCAGTCTTCTGGTTTATTGGTGGTGAGGGAACTGCATGGCATTTCTGGAGTCAACATCATCCCTCCTAGTCCCAACTGGTCTGGGGGTCTATATTTGTTTTCTCAGTAGTAAAATGAGTGCAAAATAGATTTGTGAAAAAGTGATTTTGCTGGCCCATAAAAAACACCCAGTAAAGGTCAAGCAATAATAGTAGTAATAGTGTTGCAAAGTAATAATATTAATTGTCTCTCTCTACTGATAATTGCTGAGAAGTGTAGAGAATTAGGTAGAACTAGGTAGGTTTAGTGAAAGAGCAAGTGCTTGAAAAAAAAAACAATTAAGGCCCTTTCAGGTGAGGATTTATTTTGAAAAGAATTTTCATGTGGATGAGTTACCCAACCAAACTTGGGTCTGCTAGCCCACTATGTGCAGCAAAGCCAATCTACTTACACCAAGTTGTGGCAAAAGAAAG